ATGTGACGATTCTTTGTCACAACCTCTCTGTTCTGTATGTACTTCTTTCGGTAGAGCTACTCTCTTTTGTTCTGTTCTATTCTTTGTCTGTTTTTGTTCTTTCCTCTCTTTGTTCTTTTTTAGTTCTTATCTTTTGCATGCAGTAGTACATATATATATTAGTATTTTTCTTGTGTAAAGTTAGTTTTTTGTAGTTTGTGATAAAGGGTAGTCGAATAAAAGAGTAATACTACATATCTTAACGCACGCATACAATCAACTCAAGGACTTATAATTAGAGGAAATATAGGTTCCTCACACAGCTCATATTTTAAATTTGTTAGTTTCTCAGAAAGAGTGTTCATTTGACCCGAATATAGTCGATCAATTTCACTTACAATACACGACCTTCCATTGTAAGTTAAAGTAGAATTAATTCTAAGATTTTTGATAAGCGAATGAATCTTTATCTGAAACTGACAACTAGATTCCACTTTTCATGTACTCACTAAAGTTGGTTTATATCTAGAGAGAAAGGATGGTGTTCGAAGTTCTTTTAATCCGACAATTTTGTAACTTAGAAATCAACATTTTTTATAAAGAAACTTATGAGCTTCAAAAGTGCCTGATAAGTATCATATTTTTAAATTCAACATATAAAATAAGATAAATAAGAAGTATTTCACGTGTTTAACACTGAGGCTACAAGCTCGTAATCATCAGTTAAAAAAAAGCCAAATTTATCCATATAAAATTTTAGTTTAGTTTAATGAGAGTGAATATCACTTAGCCAACTGTTCGACGATTTCGTTTGATATTATTTGTGACAGGTGGAATTCCACTGTCACTGTATGAACGTTTTCGAAAAATACCAACATTATCTGTATATAAAGCAAAACACCACTTTGATCTATATCTATTAATTAAGAAAATAGCTTACCATTCCGTTGCTCATTACCCGTTAGCAACTGATCTCCTTGCTTTCCAGCATCTATTTGATCTTGCAAAATTGTGTTTCTATCTATAACTTCATTAATCGGCTCTAAACACATCCAGACGCTGTACTTTACTTTATATAAGCAAAGATTATTCTTAATAATCTTACGCCTTAATTTGATCTCTGACAGTGGCGGTTCAATATCTGATGGTGTTGTTAGTTCATCAGGCTCTTCTTGTGAGATAGCAACTCGAGTATAAGTTGAGTAATCAATGTTTACGGATAACGAACGTTCACGACCTAGTAGTTACAGCGTTTCAAGTGTATTATTGACTGTATTGATGAATGAAGTTTACTTACTCTCATTATGAGAAGGTATTTGTAGTGCGAAATTATCCACCATCAAGAACTCTTCTAAAAGACAATAATCATTCAACTTATAAGAATACAGATGAAATAAACTTCTTTTGTTGTCTCGGAACTTTTGATTACATGCCAGGCCAGTACCAGATCATGACTTACCGGGCGCAATGTATACCAATGGAGGAACTTCAAGTACATATTCCTGCGTTGATATAATTTCAATAACTTGTGGTTGAGTCTCTTCTATTGATGGATTTGCATGGATCATCGGAAGTATCTCTACATAACCAAAAAATTATAAGACATTTGATATATGTATGCAAAAGAGGACGGTAATTTACCATTTGATATTTGAAGCTGCGAAGTTCTCAATGACTCTTCACATTGTAAATCTTCTGTGCTACTGACCGGAATTTCACTGATCTCATTTGTGTGCGAATTAACTGACTCTTGTTCACCTGCTGTTAATTGTGTATCTGCTAAAAAATTTGAGCAGTCACTTAAAACTCTCATTGATTTTTCAGAAAATTAATTACAATCTGTTTCACGAAGTTCTTGTATGAATATTGTTCCACCGGATGAAAAGTCACCATGGTCGACAACTAAGCAAAAAGAATGTTAATAAATACCATTCAATTGTACATTGAACGTAAAAGAAATTTTCTCACCAGTGATAGTACTCGAAAATTCGACAGAGATTTGATTAAATGGTAGTAAGTTTTCATTTGACTCATCGTCGATCTCTAGCAATGAAAATACCAATAACATTGACTATACATAGATTCGGGCGACGATAGATTCGGTAAAGGTTAAGTACGGATTCTCGATTACGAATATTTTTTTTACGAAAGAGTCACTGGATTTCTTGACATTATTAGTTTTTTCCGCATATCCCTTACTTTTTTTCACCTGTGCTATTTTGTGCAGTCTTCGAAAGCAGAAATATTAATACCTCCCACATGCGTATCTTTTTGTCTGCCTTGCGGTAGTGGGAGCGCCCCTACACTGCCGGCAACCACCTTCTCATGGCCATAGGCTAGCCTCCTATTCGCAGGACTTTAAATCTCGCTGGCTACGGAAAAGAATCGATCGAAATGCGTTAATACACGCAAACCGACGTTCTTTGGTGGGTGGAATGTGTGTTCGACAAGCAAAGAAAGAACTAATCATCAAACAATTGGAGAAATACAATGTTCAAGTTGCAGCTCTTAGCGAGACAACAGTTTATGGTTCAGGAACAGAAGAAATAAACGATTTTACGATACACCAACATTTCCGCGAACGACATGAAACCTGACTAAACTTATATGGTGAATAGTCATTATGTGATACAGTTACAGATGTACAGTTTCGCATCATGAAAATATGTTTTGTGTGAAACTACTTTTCGCACTCCCCCCCCCCCCGGCCCCCCCCCCCCCCGCGGCCGCGGCCTTGCCACCCACACCCGCACTGTGTACTACGTCAAACGGGGCGCCGAGGCNTTTTCGAACTCACCCCCCACACTGCCCACACCCCCACCTCTCAAGACACATTGCCAAAAAAACCCAAATGTGTACTACGAAAAACTTGTCGAAGAGTCGGGATCCTGTTAGCGGTAATGTCGTTCGCGAAAATGTGGTGTCACGGATTTTACAGTGATGTATCCTAGTGTAGCGAGCGAGTGATGAGAAGACCAGATCAGCACATGACGTTGCGGTATGTTTGAGTCGCGAAGTTACAAATGTTTGGAAGAGTTCATGATCGGTTTGAGAAGCGGTAAATGAGCGTGTGGTTCGGTTGAGATTTAAGCTTATTGATGTTACTGTGATTAGTGTGAAACCTCAAGCATGATTATTTGACCATCAAGTACGAGTCGAGCATCGAGGATCAAAAATTGATAACTGAAACACCAACATATCCTCATATTTGTTCAAAACTGACTCTGCATCCTTCTTTTTGTTCGATAGGAACTTACGCGCTGAACGTGGAGAGATTTGTTCGTCTGTTGGATCTACAAAACGAACAAAACTGGACATTGTCTAATACTTCTTTTATTTGCAAATATATACGCACGATGTATCGTGAGTTCAGTATCTAATGCTTCGAATTCTCCATCTCCATCTAAATTAAAACGAACTTAGACTATGTAGAAAATTATCTAGCAACTTTTAACTGGTGTTAGAATTTAAGTGGAACTCCAGATGTGGCACACATTTTCCGAATGAATAATTAGTACTGGCATTTGTAATGATTTGGTTTGTAGACGATCGTTGCTGCGCACACGAACTGTAATCAAACGATACCACCTCGTCCAACTCTACAACTATACGAATTCATAAAGCGTGTAGATACACGGAGAACTGCAAAATACTTGATTCATCCTCTTGCGTTGAGCTCAAATCAGCTATCTCAAACATTTGCGACATTCCTTCAAACGAAAAGAAAGTAAGAAATCTGCATGAATTTCTGTCAACTTGCTTACGTTGAGGAATGATACTGAGGCAGGCTGCTGGTTCAGCTAATGTCAAAGGTTCACGAAGATTGTCCTTAGAGTCAGAGTCATCTAAATGTACAAATATATTTATCTCATCAGTTCGAAATATAGTAATATGAAAATGCGCCTAGGCTGATCACCACAAGATTCCTGCTCTGTACGATGTTCTTGATCCATTTCTTCTTCTTCGTCTTCTTTATCTTTGTCATTTCTAATATTTAAGTTTTTCCTAGATGCCATAGATGGTGTATATAGATGGTGGTAATAATGTGAATTATTTAGTATTAGAAAATCTTGATTAAAATATCTAAGAGTGATTTGAAAAGAGTTATCAATCAAACATGCATAAGATGTGCGTTATCAGCAGTTTAATAAAATTCACACACTCTAAATGATCATAGAATTTCCTTAACTATAGCGGAGATGTAACCGGCGACTGGCCGGTTTAAACCGGTCTACACCGACCCCGGTTAGGTCGAGGAAAAAGACTTAAATCGGCCGATTGATCGGTAGACTGGTGACCGATCGCATTTGACCGGTCCGATCCAAGGTTTTAGACCGGTTACCGATCCGGTAGACAAAAATGTTGGTCGGTTACATCGTGTCGTATTTTCATGTGCAGTACTACGATATGGTATTTCGTCAGAAGGGAAACGACTGTACACGACGGAATATGACATCGTACACAATATCGTTTTTCATTGTAAGCCAGAGTTGTAACCGGTCTGGAAATACTAGACCGGTCCGATCCGGCCAGTCACTGGCCGGTCTAAAAATATTTCCAGACCGGTAAAAACCGGCGAGTTCATCAAGTTTTTTCAAGTAATAACATTGATATTAGGGACAAAATTTTGTTCTGAATACCTACAGATTTTTACGCCTGTCTTTTCTGTAATGCTTATACTGGAATTCTAATACCAAAAAACCAACCAATATTTTCAAGATTGAGTTTCTTCTGCATGAGATAAGGTTCCTTCCCACAAAACGAAACGTCACGAATAATTTGAAAATAAATTTGGAAAGAGATTCACTATGTCAAATAACAAAGCCAATTAAGACGAATTTGAGTTAGGAAGCTACGGTATCGGCATATCGAAAGTAAAAAATTAGATTAACATTAAAGAAAAAAGATAAAAGCATATAAACGCCCAATACGTGACAATTTTCCGATTGCTAAGATATTTTAAACAATAAATAATATGACTTTGTCTTTGAAAACAAATTGAAAGAATAAAAAGAAAAAATTTACGGTATTTTCGGTATCGGTATATACCGAAGTTCGGTATTTTCGGTATCGGTATATACCGAAGTTCGGTATTTTCGGTATCGGTATATACCGAAGTTCGGTATTTTCGGTATCGGTATATACCGAAGTTCGGTATTTTCGGTATCGGTATTTTCGGTATCGGTATTTCGGTATGAATACCGATACCGGTGCATACCTATACATAGTATCTTTCTGATGAAAAATGAACGAATATGCACAACTTTGTGAAACCGGTAAAAACCGGTCGGTCCAACTCACTCAACCGGTGCGGTACGGCACCGGCCCGGAACGGTTACAACTCTGTTGTAAGCTATCATATTTGATCGTAGTTTGTCTCAAATAGTCGTATTTTTGGGCTTATTTTTATCTTTTGATTTTCCAATTAACTTTTCAAAAACTTTTATCACCAATATTTTCCCATCTCGAACATGTCCAAACGTGTTCTTAGATGGTGCATGCAAAAAATTTCGTAAAGTCAAAACGAATTCATGATTTTTCCTTAGAATTGATCATTCTCTTATACTCTGCTAGTGACAAACCAAAACGGTGAATGAGAAAAATATACATGATGAAAATACGAATATACGACTGTCGTATTTCATTGTATGTGAAGTGATGCTGTCGTTTACTACCTGAGAGTTTGGACCGCGCTAGATGTGTACAGAGACCGAGACCCTTAAGTCTGACTGCGAATCAATAGCATTAGGTGTCAATTCACACATTGACCGATCTATGACTAAAAGCTCTCAAGACCGCATGTTGCTCACTAATCAGCCTATTCGACCGATTTATCTTGTTGTAATTCGGAAAGAAAACAAAAATCAATTCTAATGATAATTTACAAAGCCACACATCTGTTGACGATCATTATATATCGGATATATTATACCCGATATCACAGCATGATTCTCTAACAACATTTTATCCGTTATTCATTCGTATGACTTTCATCCTACAAAAATGCAAACAATTGTCTTTTGCTGATTTTTCGATCGATTTTGTATTTTATTTTTCAAAGATAAAACAATTCACCTCTTTCTAATTTTATTAGCTTGACTTTCCATTACTACTAGACATTCGAATTTTGGGACGTGAAATCGAATGGAAAAAAGAATATCTAAAATCCTTTCTAAGAGCTGGTTGTAAGTTTCTCCACAAAAAAGGTCAATATTCTTATTATTAACCTGTTTGTATTATTGAACTGTTATCGTAATATACAGTTCTTTCATGAATACACAGTTCAAGGTGTCTCCTAACAATGCGAGACATTCCGATTCTTCCTCTATCATGATCTTAACGTCATATCAAATTACCAAAAGGCAGTAGGGCTAGGGGTGTTAATTTAGTTTTATTGTTCATTTATAATAATGGATAAATATAAATGAATCATTTATATTTAAAAAATAAAGAAATGGATCATTTATCTTTATTTTACCTTTATTTTTAAAAATAAAGGTAAGATCAAGGAATAAAGACAAATAATCAATTTATTTTATAAAAATAAATATTTTTTTATTTATTTATTTTTTTATTTTTAAATATGAACGACGAATTATTATTCGAATAGTCATTAAACGAGGACATTGATATATGTATCTCAGTATTTCAGAATAAATAACTTTGATACAACAATAAATTGTAAAACTCTTCATTTATATTTAATTAATATATTTGTTTTTTGTGAAATAAAAAAATCAGAACATTTAACGGTTGAAGATATTCATATGAACTGTTATTTCATTGCATGGTTGTACCAGAGAGGATAATACCATTATAATGTATTATTACTAATCTACTGGAACCGACTTCGCCTAGAATCGCAAAATTAGAGATCTCAAGAAAAAAATTCCCGTCCAAAAAGTTACAGAAACTAAGAATTTTTATGCTTCATACAAGACTATTTTCCGAAAAATGCACTCTCGGTCGCGTAACAAGTCTCATGGGACCGGAACCAGAACCATCCCGCAGATCACTACGCAGAATATAATGGTGAACTATAGAACAGCTCCGATTGCTCTATGGATCGTTTTCTTAGTTGTAGTGCTGTATTTTTTCTCTAGCTTTGTTGATGCATTTATTTGTTTACTCAATTTTTCGAAAGTTTCCTACGGCACGGCACCTATTACAAATTTTTCTTTCTTGCCATGACAAACATTATTTTTAACATGCAAGGAAAATAATATCTACTTTATCTTGAATAAAATCTTTTACAACCTTCACATGAAAAAAAAAGTGCTTTGTCAATAATGAAAAAAACGACGGATTTTTCTTTTCTTCAAAAAGGAATTATAAGCCTATATATATATAACTGGGTGAAAAACTGCAAATGTGAAAAGTAAAATTTTATTGCTCTACAATAACCTTCACTTGATCGTGTTACAATAATTCATTACCGCACCGTCTCAGTTTAATTCTAATGATTTTTATCAACAATCCAAGAAGTTGTCTTATACACAGTGTAGGAAACGGTAAACATGTTTGTGTGAATATAGCAATTGTCTGACATGTAACTTATGTAGCTACGCACAACCTTCAAAAAAGAAAACTTGTTCTTGTATAAATGTTTCAAAAATTCTCTAACAGTTTAAATTTTCTTCTTACATCTTGCATGCATGATGTATTGTATAAGGTTCAGAGTTTGAGTGCAAGGTGTCTGCCCTTCTAAGCTGTGATTAAAATGGTCATTCAATATGAATAAAACTTCCGCGAAGTGTCCATGTCGAGCTTTTTGTTAAGATTCTTGCAGACTCGTTTTTTTACAAAACAACTCCAGCGCCGAAAAAATACATCATTTTTTTATAAGTTTTTCGGCGCTGTAATTTTACATGCAAAAAAAGCGCAAAGAATGGGAGAAGACATTTTGCTTTTTATTGCAGAACATATTTTTTGCGGTGTACTGCATATGTTCTTCTAATGTCATTTCTCGACGGTGTCTTTTGACACAATACTGTAAAATGAGTGTTGTTAAAGTGTAAATTTTTGAAAAAAGTGGAATTTGTCCACCCTCATATCTATCCGGTGAAAAATGTCTCCTCCCAAATATAGGATGTCGTGTCAGTGAGTTGAGCGAGAGGGTCAGAAGATTATACATAGCGAATATCTAAGAATTTATTGCTCCTTTCTCCATGTAATTGAGATATGAGAAGATGTGTTTTGCTGCGTTCTTTTGTAAAGTATTTCACTTCTGCAAAAAATGTATAGAAAGTTCATACGTGTAATTTTTCTACAGATTTTTGTCAAAACAATGGCTCGTAATATTTGCGTTTTCTTTTGACAATAAATGTATCACAAAATTTCTACATGGGTATTCAGGCTATAAAACAATATTACTCAACAAATATATACAATAAAATTTAAAAGTTTTTCGTGTTTTCGGACAGAGACTAATGTGTTGTTCGAAGAAAGTCGATATGAAGTCATAAGTGATTGATACATTTATTTTCATATGCCCTCTAGTGACCCAACCCGAAAAGAGCCAGTTATTGAATATCTTTTTGGCTCATGTTCACACTTGAAATACTTATAATAACTTTGTATATAAGTTATATCGAATAAATGTGCTCTCAGTTCAGAAAGATAATGTATATTAGAACTCTATATGGAACTAAAATTATCAGTGCAGCCTAGTGAGTGCGGAGCTCT